ACCAATTCTTGTTAAAATTAAGTTACGGATTCTAAAGGTTTGCCTATTTTATGGATTAAAATAACTGAAGCCATTTTCCATTGTGAAGAAAAATATCCTAATCTTAATACCGCGTTGTAGATTTGTGTTAATAAGAAGATCGCATTTTGAGATAATTGACACAAGACAAATCCAGTAATCAGCTCATAACCAGAAGCTTTCTTTTTATTAGTATTAATTATTGCGTCTATAATTTCGGTTTTTCTTAAAGGTTTACTAAGCAGAGACATGTGGTATGGCCAATCCATAGATCTATGAATATTTTCCTCTTCTTCTGGTTGTAACTTACAGGGAAATGGTGTAAATGTCGTTTCCAGGTGATATGTTATGTTATGTAATGGTGATAACTCTCTCAAGTATTTTTCAGTTGATGTATTTTTTAGATCACATAACATTTTTTTCAGGTCTTTTGCTGCTTTGTTAAATGCTTTATCGGCAGGTGTTCGATTGTATTGCTGTCTTTCTAAATTTTCTCTTTTCTCCAATTTTTTATATAATGGCCTCGAGATAGAATTTCTTGTTAGGTTTATTATTGGGTAGTGGGGTGGATTCTCACCACGCTTTCTATATACGTGTAGGGAGATGATACACAGCAGTGTCTAGATCACTTTCTGTCTTTAGATATAGGTTTATGTTCATGTTATTAGTAATGGTTTATTTAAATAATGTCAAATTAAGAGTTTATTACGGTTGCAAATTCATTCACATCTAGTGCATTGGGAACAATATTTGTTCCATAATAACAAGTTCTCTTCGTTAAGTGCTCGAAATCGGTTACGAAGATTTCTTTTCTGGACAAAATCAGGTAATGTTTTTTGACGTAAGTTTCTTATTGGATTTTCTGGAATTCATTTTTTCTTCCGGGTTGAAGCTTTTCATTTTGCATTTCGTTTGCATTTCGTTTCATTATCGGTCGTTTTCACTCTATCTTCACTTCAATCAATGGAATGCTACATCTGAGAACTTTGCGCTGAAATTTGTTGCATAGTTTCACTTAGAGGGTTTTGGGGGTAATAACGTTGATCAATTATTGGTTATGATTCTATCTGGACCTGTGGTGTTAACGTTCGGAATTTGTTGAACGAAACATGATGCTGGCTGTATATTTTGTTGTGGTAACAATGTAGTTAAGGACTGCGTTGGTTGAAGAATGCTGGGAGCATATTGAATATTTCCCGGTTGTCGTTGTGGCCTGGTGTTATACATTTCGTTCCAATGGAGCTAAATTCTATGCAATAAAAATTAAATTTAATACATACATTTTGCTCCTGGCACCTCTACTAATATATAAATTTGTAGTATTAGTTTATTACTGGATAATTACTTCAACGTTTAACACAAACACAAATACATTTTCCGGTTCCTGTATTTAAGTTTTCTAACGTCGAATTAACTACTGATTCTAAATTAATTGTCTTAGTAAAGTGATTATACTGTATTTATTAGGGCCCGCGTAGCGCAAGCGGTAGTGTGCTTGCCTCGCATGCCGGTGGTCGTGAGTTCGAATCCTACCGCCGGCAAGAACAACTAGGCATTTTTAAAATGTCTATAGGCCCCAGGTCGACTCAGCCTGAATAAAATGAGTACCTTGGGTAAAACCAGGGGTAATAATAGGCGGTTGAAGCGTAGCACTGGCCATGTTACCTTCCTTGTATACCGTAGGCCCTAGATATAGCAGACTACCCTGCTATACTCCCAAAGCCGCGTGCGGTATAAAACGGGAGACTATTATATATTACTGTATTTATTTAGTTATTATGTATACTCAATGATTTTCCATTGCGTTTAATAAGTTGTTGACTGCGACACTATCACAGGCCTTTCGGAGGTCCACGAATACAATATATAATTCAGCGTTGAATGCAATATTTGTCTCATATTTCGTAAATTGGGGGAGTATAAAGATATCTTTTTCTTGTAATAACTCTGAGTAATATTTTACCCAATCGCCTATTTGTATTGGTTCTACTTTTACCCTTCATGCGCATTTCATCTAAATTTCCCCAACATTTTCCTTGCCTCTCTTGCTTTCGAACTTCCCAATAGGCTATCTATATTTTTAGATTTGTTATGGCAAAATTGTTTTTTACTGCTTTTTATTTCATTTCTGTTATTTGGCTTTCTATATTTGTTGTTCACTAATATGGTTTGTTTTTATAACGTATCTAGTCACTTTCCCTTTAATAGCTTCATTTCTTCCAGTTTCATTAAGGTCTCCCATCAATAGAATTTCTTTCTCAATATTTACGTTTTCTAACGCAAAACTGATACCAACAAAAAACAGATTGCATCGGAGTCGAAAACGGCGTACTTTATATCCGTTATTAAGAAAGGCAAGAACTAAGTAACAGTAAAGGAAAACGGACAGCATGGTGAAATGAACAAGTAAACAGAGTAATAAAAGAAAATAAGAAACTATGGAAGGAAGAAGTACATACAAGACAAAACAACAATATATGAAAATTACAAAAAACAAAGAATAGAAAGATTAAAAAATAAGAAAAAGAAGTTCGGACAAAACTTTGGAGGAAAACAGAAAAGAAAATATAAAATGATTTTACAGAATATTGAAAAACCCTAAGAAGCAACAAAAATAATGAAACACAATGAACAAAGAAAGAACAATATTACCTGACGACGAAAGTTGTTACATTTTTCTGTGGGTTCAAAGATTAAGTGGTTAAACTAACTTTATTACTCCAAAAACTCAAATATCACAAATTCTAATTACATTTTATAATTATTGCTTACAATTTGCACTGAAATCGATTACAAAAAATTCGTCAATACTAATAATCAAATGAAGCCTCAGTGGGCTTTAATAATAAGAACTAAATAAATGTTCAGCTGGAACAGTTTTACCGGGAGGTAATCCCTGCTTCAATAGAAACGGCGCGTGGAATTTCCGGCGGTGACGGTGACGAGAGAATTCTCGACTTCGCCAAAGCACAGGGCGACAATCAGAGTATATGACACAACACTAGGACGGATGAAAAGCAATGGCAAATCTCTTATATATTTGACGAATCGAAAAGCCACAGCACCAAACCAAATAATCATTTTTAATATAACTAACCTGTGTCTGTCTTATCTATACTTCTAATTTATCTAATTTATCTAATTACACTATCTATTATCTAATTTACATACCGATGCACGTCATCGGCGTCATAGCCCGTGACGTCACATGATCATCACATCATCATCCCACAGCCCTTTGCGACCACTGCTGGACATAGGCCTCCCTCATTTTTGTCCATTGTGCTCTGTCTTGAGCACTTTTCATCCAATTTCTTGACATATTCTTGAGATCGTCAGTCCATCGTGTAGGGGGTCTTCCTCTACTTCTTTTGTCTAACCTCGGCCTCCACTCAAGCAATCTCTTCGTCCACCTTTCATCACTGATTCGGGCGACGTGTCCGGCCCAGTTCCATTTCAATGTGACAATTCGGGAAATTACATCGGTAACTCCTGTTCTTCGTCTTAAGTCTTCATTTCTAACTCGGTCACGAAGCGATATACTCAGCATTGATCTTTCTATTTTCCTCTGAGCTACTTGCAGCGTCCTAGAACTTGTAGCTGTCAATGTCAAAGTTTCGGCACCATAGGTCATCACAGGCAACACACACTGGTCAAATGTTTTACGTTTCAAAGAAATTGGTATATCGCTTTTAAAGATGTCTTTCGAGTTTTCCATAGGCTGCCCATGCTAGATTTACTCTTCTTCGTAGTTCGCATGTTTGGTTGTCTCTTGTGATCTTTATTTCGTATCCAAAATATATGTATTTTTCCACCAGCTCTACTTCGTTGTCTCCACTTCGTTGTCACATGATACCAACACGAAATATTTAGGCGGTAGGTGTGTTCTTTTTTAGAATCACTTTGCCGAGTATACTGGCATTACAGCCACTAGACATATTTTATTATATACGCGTAGAAATAATATTTAAAGATTTCTATTAATGGCAACTTAAAGAAATACACAATAATATGTTTCATTTAATTTGTATAAATGCATTATAAAGCGTTTTTATGAAGAACATTTGTTCGGAACACACTGTAACTGTAATCGAACGAAGGTGAAATTTTGGCATAAATTGGTAACACTTATTTGACAGTTGCGATGTTGACACTTTTTGTACTTTATTATTTTGAATTTTAAAGTGAATACCTCTTGTTTTATATTTTTACCTATTTAATAAAATCTCTTCTTTTTAGAACAAAATTAGTGTGTTTTATTTCAAAAAAGTCACGTAAGAATTTAAATATTTGTTGTAAAGAGATGGTAATACTGTTGCAATAATTTTGTGACCTATTTGATTTAAAATGGATTTAAGATTTTTTTCATACTTTGGCAACTATGTCAACTTCGATCTCTGATGTAGATAATGACGTGCAACGGTATGTAAATTAGATGAAGTATAGTTCTTACAAATTTATTTGAGTACTTTAAATGGCCTCTACAACTAATTCGAGTAATTTTTGGACACCCCGTACTACACTTTTATAAAATTTGTTTTGGTAAAAAAACGTGCACAACTTCGAGTATGATGTCGTGAACGTTATGTTCCATGTGTGTTGAGTGACATAAATTAAAAATGTATCGTAGATAGATAGATAAAACCACAATCGTGTCAAAAAGTTATGATACCCACCACAAAAAGTCTCTATTCAAGTGTAGCACGAGAAGATAGAAAATATGATAAGAATGTTTGAAAACAATTTTTTATATGAGTTTTTATATCTATTTCAATGGCAACATGAAGTTAATTTTAACATTTGTAATCCCCATATTCTAGTACAAAGTTTTTGAGTATTTCGATAGTTTCATTCATTAGTTTTTAATAATTGTATATAATACGTTATTATATTCAAATTACTTATTGATATTATTGATCAGCTTGTAATTATGTACCATACAAACCTATTAAAAGCTACAAAATACTGAAAAAAAAACTCACTTGCGTTAGCGACCTCCAGTCCATATTGGCGCTTCCAACGTAGACGTGTTTTTGATCGATGATCCATAACTTAGTATGCAAAACACCGGATCCCAACAATTTGGCAAAATTGACACTCCGCACTTCGGCAGCTTTTCTTTTTACCAGCAATTCGGTGTCGATGTTGGGAAAGTTTTGCGACGGAGAATTTTGGGCTATTCGAATCGTTATTCCCCGTTCGGTGCCAGCTTTCAATAGGGATTGAAATATTTTTTCTCCCTAAACGGAAGAAAATTATTTGTGACATCCTTGTACTCGTTAAAAACTAACTGACATTTTCTTATCATGTTGTAATGGGAATTAAACCAAAATAATACAGAAACCGGTATTTTTACTTGCTAGAATTATTATATAATTGGATCATCCATTGTTCTCCAGAGGCTGTTACAGGCTGTGTTTTTTAAATGTATTAAGAGCTCAGAAAAATAAGCAAAAGTTTGCACTATTCGGAATAAATTAATAAATTACTATAAGACTAGTGATTTTATCCGTCGCATGTGATGGAAGATCCAATCAATTGCCATTTAGTCACTCATTAATTTTAATAAAATATAAAAAAAACGACGCGTGGAACTTGGGGGGTGCCGACAGAAGTGAATACTTCTTTTAGCGCGTTGTTACTGTGTGGGCTAATGAAATTTTACGCCTGATTGTTACTGAATTGTTTTTACAATAATACCATACATTTAAGGTCTTTAAGATTTAAAAAAATCTGAATTTTTTTCTTTAAAAATTTCGTTTACTTATTTTAGTAATTTTTAAAATGTGTCAAATACACTGGGGTGAAAAAATTAACCGGACACTCAGATTTTTTTTGTTTTTTGTTGGTGTTAAGATCAAAACTTGTTTTTTTCTTGTTTGTTTCATTTATATGTTTTGTGCGAACACCAACACTTTTACACATACGTTTTTTTATTAATGTGAAATAGTGGCTTAGTATTAATTTAAGTTTAGTACTGTACCTGATTATAAGTTCGGCTGTAGGTTTTTGTATTGTTTCCTGTTTAAAACTTGCATTCAAAAAATTATGACACCAGAATAAGCATTCCAAATGATGCATTCCAAACGCTTTAGGAATTTCTCGAAGTACAGTGTTTGATGCAATACAACGATTTTGGGAAACAGGACAATACACCAGGAGCCAGGTGTATTGTCCTGGATAGACGAAGATCCACAAGTCAATTTGTACACTATCAGCACCAATACTTGTTCAACGATTAAATGATGTCCATAGAAACACAGTTTCCTTCTATACCGTTTGAAGACGCTTAAATAAATATGGATTAAGGTTCAGAATACCTATCACGGGAACTCTATTAACAGCAGATCATCGGAGGCAACGTTTACACTTCGCTTGCGAACATCTTACTTGGAGTGTTGACGATTGGAGTGCTGTACTTTTTACTAACGAATCAATATTTAATAGATATTCATCAGATGGGCGGCTTAGGATATGGAGAAAAGCTGGTGAATGTTATCAGCACTGTTGTTTTACTCCAAGAGTTTCATTTGGTGGAGGTGGTATAATGGTGTGACCAATCCATAGAGGCTCATACAGAACTCGTTACAATTCAAGGGGGCAATTTGAACGCTCAACGGCATATTCAGCAATGTTTGGAAGTACTATTTGCCCCATTTGTTGGAGAAAACTTTCGTCTGATGCAAGATAATGCTTCTCCGCACATCGCAAGAATAACACGGGTTTACTTGGATGAAGTTGGGATTCGTTTATTATCATGACCCCCAATGAGTGCAGACTTAAATCCAATAGAGCATGCATGGGATATTGTAGGACGACGTATTCGACGTAAGCATGGTGAGTTTAAAACCCTGAATGATTTGGAGCAAACAGTTTGTAACGAATGGGAGCAAACTTTGCAGACGCTCAAGCAGAGCCTTGCTGCCTTAATCCTAAGTATGCCTGATCGAATGAGAGCCGTAATTAGGGCTCGTTGAGGTAATACACTCTACTAAAGATCGTTTTCCATAAAAATATATTTTTATTAAAAAAAATAATTTTGTTTCTTCGCAGATTTTCAATTTTTTTGAATTGTTTATTGTTTTTTTTCTGTGTAACATTTTCGAGTTGTAATAATTTTAACTTTTAAATTTTGTTTATTAGTAAATACTCAATTGGGAACATCTTAAACTTTTTTAAACGTCAGTTTTTAGGAAAAATCTGAGTGCCGGTTAATTTTGCACCCCAGTGTATTACTTATATAGAATTTATTCATATATTTACCTTTTTAAAACTATCTTGTATTTATGTTTAATAACTTCATTATGATTATCATTTAATTTAATTTAATTTTTTTAATTTTATTAGTTTTAATTAATTTTATTATTTTTCTATTTAATATTTTATTTCATTTTATTTAAATTGATTTAATTTTGTTTAATTGTATTTCTATCTATTTATCTAATTAGCCTTCTTCGGTCCATCTTTGGACATAGGCCTCCCCAATCCATTTCTATTCTTCTCTGTCTGTCGCTACAGTCATCCACCTAGAGCCCACGTGCTTCTTGATATCATCTACCCATCCTTTGGGACCTTCCTCTGCTTCGTTTATATTCCCACGGTCTCCAACTTATAAGAATTTTGTTCCATCGGTCTTCTTTTTGTCTTATATTGTGTCTGGCAAATCTCCATTTCAATTTTGCAACTTCTTGTCTAACATCCCTCACTTTTGTTTTCTCTCTTATCCACTCGTTTTTCTTTTTATCAATTAGTCAGTCTTATGTGCAAGATTTATCTTTCCATTGTTCTTTGGGTTTTTATGATTTTGTCCATATTTGCTTTTGTAAATGTCCACGTTTGGGAAGCATAAGTAAAAACAGGGAGTACGCATTGATTGTATACTTTGGTCTTAAGATGCTGTGGATATCTCATGTTTTTAAGAATGTAGCTTAAGTTTGCCAAATGCCGCCCTTGCCAGTCCAACTCGTCTTTTTATCTCTGCTGTTTGGTTTTCTTTGTTAAGTTTTATAGTTTGACCCAGATATATATATATATATATATATATATATATATATATATATATATATATACAATGTTTCCCAATAGGGACGTCCTGTTTTTGAAATGTCTTAGCGGCCATTTTGAAAATGATGGAACTGTCACTTTTTTGACGTTTGTATTTAGTATACTCTAACAAATTACCATGGCAAGATATACGCTTGAACAACGTTTGGAAATTATTCTAAAATTTTATGCTAATAATCGTTCTTTTGTGAATACCTATCGTGCATTACGTGAAAGTTATGGACCAAATGATCGTCCTGATGTGCGTGTAATTCGTCGAATCGTGGAAAAGTTTGAACGTGAATTTACTTTGCAGGATACGAAACCACCAACTAGACGCCGAAATGCAAGAACTCAGGACAATATTGCTGCTGTAATAGCCAGTGTAGCGGAGAATGCAAATGTGTCCGTAAATCGTCGTTCTCAGGAACTTGGACTCGCCAGAATGACAACTTGACGAATTCTGAGAAAAGATTTAGGCCTACACCCTTACAAGATTGTTCTGACTCAAGAACTGAAGCCACTTGACCATCATAAGCGTCGTTTGTTCGCTGATTGGGCTCTAGACAAACTCGAAAATGATGCCGATTTTTCAAAAAATAATCTTTTCCGATGAAGCTCATTTTTGGTTAAACGGCTTTGTGAATAAGCAAAATTGTCGTTTTTGGAGTGAAAATAATCCACATGAGATTCTTGAGAAACCTTTGCATCCAGAAAAAGTCACTGTGTGGTGTGGTTTATGGCATGGTGGCATCATCGGACCTTATTTTTTTCGAACATGGTGTAACAGTTAACGGTGAAAGGTATCGAACGATGATAACGGATTTATTGTGGCCTCAGTTGGATGAAATGGATTTGGATGGCATGTTTTTTCAACAGGACGGTGCCACATGTCACACTACTGCCCCAACCATTGATTTATTGAAGGAAAAGTTCCCGGAAACATTGATTTCTCTTGATGCCAGAGATCCCACGAGAATTCAGCAACTTCGACCAGATGCTTGGCCTCCAAAAAGCTGCGATTTAACACCATTGGATTATTTTTTATGGGGCTATCTTAAGTCATTGGTCTATGTGAATAAACCACAATCCATTGAAGACTTGAAGAGGAATATAGAGTACATCATTCGTGAGATTAATGCGGATATTTTGCATAAAGTGACCGAAAATTGGGTTCATCGGATTCGCTCCTGCAAACCTAGTAGAGGTTGACATTTGAATGATGTGTTATTCAGAACATAATTGTTATCTATTATATTTTGCAATAAACTTTTCTTTTTTGATTTACAGCAATTTTTACCGTTTCGTTAAAAAAACATCAGGACATTCTTATTGGGAGACCTGTTATATATAATCCTGAACTTGTTCTATTTCATCTTGTCCGATTCTCATTGTGGTGGCTTCATCTGTATTTGTTATGGTTTTGGTCTTGCTGTAATTCATATTAAGACCTATCTTTCCAGCTTCTACGTCCAGTTCTTTCATCATTTCAAATAATTCTTCTTTTTTATCGGTTATCAATACGATGTCAAGAGCGTACCTTAGATGGTTCAAGCGTTGTCCAGAAAATGTTATATACCATTTTCTTCCTATTCTAATCTTGCCCGATTGAAAAGTTTCGGTGATATTGTGTGACCCTGTCTCACACCTCTATTGATTTGTATTGATTTTGTTCCTCCTTTAATTGCATTTAATTTTATTTATTCTAATTAATTTTTTTAGTTTTATTTAATTTTGTTTATTTTATTTAATTTTACTTAATTTTGTTTAATTATACTTAATTTTGTTTAATTTTGTGTAATTTTACTTAATTTTATTTAATTTTGTATAATTCTGTTTAACGTTATTAAATTTAATTTAATTCTATTTATCTTTGTTTATTTTTTTAAATCTTAATTAATTTTATTTAATTTTTATTCAGTTTTATTTAATTTTAATTTACTTCTATCTTATTTTGGTAAGACGTTGACGATTGCTAAACGTCATTTTATTTTTATAAGTGTATACATGTACTGTAGGTAAATGTATGTAAATCTTAGGTTACAGTTACAGTAAACAATATTTTTAGCAATTTTCTAAAAAAATGATTACTGTGAAGTAGTAAAATTTCCGAATAAGGATATTTGAATCATCAATTTGTAGAATGAATTAGCAATAAATCAACCGTATCGTTTCAAGAACAAAATATGATTGAAGT